AGTAACAAAATCCATTCAGATCAGAATGGTTTTCTTCCCACAAGGCAGATTAGAGATAATACAATAATAATAATAGACATATTAGAATATTATGAAAAACATCCTTGGTCTTCCTGGATGCTCAAAAGGCTTTCAACAACTTAAATTGGGACTTTATGAAGAAGCAGATTAACTTGATGGACTTTGGAGGTAATTTCGTAAAAATGTTAAATGCAATTTACGCCATACAAAAGGCTAACGTATTACTAAATGGAGAGATTACTAAATTATTAAAGATAAGGAAGGGTGTCAGACAGGGATGCCCTCTTTCACCTCTGCTTTTCAAAACAATTTTAGAAACTTTGTTGGCTAGTATTAGATCAAATAAAGAAATTAAAGGAACTAAAATTAAAAGTCAAGAGTATAAATTACAGGCTTTCACAGATATGTTTTTTGTTATAGAAGACCCAATAGACTCAGGACCAGCTTTACTAAATGAAATAGATAAATTTGGTAAATTAGCAATGCCTAAAATTCCGAGGTGGTTTTCAATGATGGAGGCAATGTTTCATTTAAACACGATGGATATCAGTAAAAAACTTAAGTACCATCAAATATTAGATAAAGAGGGAAGATTTAAAATTATACAGGAACTAGAAGTACAAGGGATAGTCATTGATAATTGGTCGTATTTTCAAGTAAAATTGAGATATAATAAAGATGTAAAGGAATATGGAATTGAGGTAACAGATGCGCATTTAGACAAAATACTTTCAAGTCCTGAGAAAGGGTTGATCTCTAAATTATATATTTATTTATTAGAACATGAAATGGCTGAGAGAATTGTGAAAGGACCTTTGTTAGCTTGGGGGAAAAAAATTGGTTATAGTATAGATCTGGACGACTGACAGGAAATTTGGCAAAAAAATCTCATATTAACAATGAGTAGCACATAAGGAGAATCTATGTAAAATGATGTATAGTTGGCATCTGGCACTCTCTAGATTGGCCAAAATATTTCCAACAGCAAATCCATGCTGTTGGAAATGCAAAGGGAAATTTGGTACTTATTTTCATTTGTGGTGGACCTGTCCTGAGCCAAAGAAATATTGGTTAAAAATAAAAGAGTGGATAGAAGAAATCATAGAGCATGGTCTGTAGTGGAAACTGGAACCGTTCCTGTTGGGAATGATAAAAGGGGATTATACCTCTAAAGTAAGATATCTGACCATCCACTTATTAACAGCGGCACGGATTTCATTAGTACAATATTGGAAGAAACCAAATGTACCACCGATACATGTTGCTATTCAAAAAACGTATGAGGGTGCCCAATTGGAGAGGTTCACGCTCAAAATCAATGGGAAGGAGGATACAGATTACTATAGGATATGGGATAAATTGCACAATTGGGTAGATTACAAGGGGAAAACATGCAAATGAACCCAAGAAACAAATTATATTCAGCTGTCCATATGAAATGAATAAGAATAACAAAGGTTTTAAATCTTCTTTTCTTTTACATTATTATCATTATATATTTACTCTATCTTTTTATTCATTATTTAAATAATATGAATGTATTATTAATTAAATAATAGTTATAAAACAATGAGAAGATTAGTATTGTGAGTTATTTAGTGATTAAGATGTGATAGTAAAAGAAAATGTGATAAGAATTAGTTTGTACTGACTATTAGGACTTATCAATTTTGATACCAAATGTAAAGAGGAATGTCTTATTTACATAGTATTGTTTTTGTATTCTTTAAATTTAGTCAGAATGTTTTTAATTCTTGTAAATAAAGTTTACTTAGAATGGTAGATCCGTAGTAAAACTAGGAGTTTCTGAAATCTGTCTGGGTATCCACTATCCATTACAACATCAATGATTTTTTATGTGCAGACTATCTATCAGGATAGTGGTCCATGGAAGTCTTCCAAGATATAGGTTTTGAAAATAAGATGCTTTGCTCACACTGGCATGATTTGTGAAAAATATACACAGCTTTATTAATTGGATCCAATTTTATTTTAAGGGTCAGAATTATATAAGATCAACTAGATTAGTCCACTTACCTCAGCATTATAGCATCATTTAGAAATGATGTGTACAAGCATGATTGTGGCCTGATTTTGTATTCTGTTTGGTCATCAGCATATCACCTAACCAATATTACGATATCTGTGTAGAAGGATTCTGAAAATTAAAGGACAGAATGAGTGGAGTCAGCACAACATGACATGTGATTTAAATTAAATTAAAATATAGTTAGAATAATTACAGCCATTTGATATGATTATTTCCCATGTTGTCTGTCAGTTTAAAATTGTATATGCAACCTTTCCAGGGATTCTAGAGGCTATGCCCAAGGCTTATTGGCATAAATATATCGTGAAGCTTCAGGGTATGAATCCTTTCCTAGATAAATGACTTCTAATTCTGCTTGTTATAGAGCATTATGCAGTTATTTCATCTTTCTGTATTTTCCCCATTTTTTATATAAAAAAGTCCAGGAGAACAGAAACAGAAAATACTGCCTTGATCTTAACCTTTACAGAATTCTGTAAATGAAGAGAATTTGTAATACAACAAAACCTACTTGGGACACTAAAAATAATAAAAATGGTTGTTAAACTATTTTTCAATAGTAGCAGTGGAATACTATATGTATGTATCTCTCCTGGGTTTGATGAGACTTAAGTATACCAAAAAATTCAGCTTTAAGCTAAATTTATATTTTGTTTTCTGGAAAGAACTCCATCAAGCCAAACAATACTTTTTTCTGAGTTCACACATATGCAGAAATGAATACAGTAGTTAAAATTTAGTTCAGGCTATAACTAAGCTTTTGCTGTTGATGGTTTCTAAACAAAATCCAAAAATGTAAAAATCCTGATTCCCTCAGAAATTTATTTATTATTTTCAAGAAGTTGGATGTATCACAAAATTTTTGCATATTTATGTAGCTGTTCTATGGAATAACAAGTAATGGGAAAAATTCAATGAACAAAGCAGAAGATATTGGAAACATCAATCAGTTTTAGTTTTGAAAGGGTTAAAAGAAAAGTATGAGATGGATTATTAAAATGGTATGATCAGAAAAGAAGCTACAGTACATCTAATATTAGTAAGTTACTAACTGTTCTACATTATCTTAATCACATTGTTATTGAAATAAATTTTCTGAACTATTTATACTTTATAGAGTATCAATAAAAAAAAAGAAAAATGTTCTTCAAATTTGGCTAATGATCTGGACTATTAATTCCTGAAATAGTGTCCTGTCAAAAAAATTTCTAGGAATTGTTTTTAGCAATGGGTTGACAAATGGAATTGATTATCAAACACAAAAGCAGTGGGATGTTTACTAGTAATTTTAGTATTTGCAAAACAGATCTGTCTTCGGTTATCCTTGTCAAATGTTATTTATTCTCATGCATAGATATATTTGATATGCTTAATGCATTTTGAAATAGAGTCTAGACAGAGTTCCAAATACCTTGATGGTGTTTTGTTCACTTTTTGTCACAAATATTCTTAATAACTCATGCCTTTGCCAAATTATGCCAATACTTTTAAAATAAAATCTGAGGCTTTTCCTTGTTTAGAATATCCAAAGAAATTCAAAAGAAATGTATGTTTTAAGAAACCAAACTATGTCAAAGAGGATGGAAAGAGAAACAGCCATTAGAGCACTTGAAGTAGAATTCCACCTATCAGTGACTATGAAATAACTAAGAAGTAAGTCCAATTATAATTGACTTTTTTTTTCTTCCATTCATCCTGTTCAATTGTCAAAGACTACCTGGACAAGTTCCTACAGTTTTTGTTGGCAAGATTTTTCAGAAGTGGCTTGCCATTGCCTCTTTCCTAAGACTAAGAGAAAGTGACTGAGATAAGTTAGCTTTGTGTCCAGAAGACCTCTCCTGGTTTCTAACTTGATGTTTGGCCTACCCCAAAGTAGCTCATAATTAATGATATTCTTTCTAAATAGATATCTTAAGTTCACATATCAATTTGTATTTATGTCTTGTCTTGTCCTACAAATAGTGAACCCTTTTTGTGGTCAGATTTGGGAAGCAACTACTATAACAACAGATACTATTGAATTGTCAGATAATAAATACAAGTGTCTTCATTTTATTACTCAGCCAAAGACATTACCCTGTTAAGGTGTTATACTTCTGTGTACTAAAAAGCAAGACTGTGAATAGACTAACTATTCCACAATGTGCATGGCTGACCCTTATTAAATGGTACCCTATATATGAGTGAAATATACAGAAATAATATATGGGAATTGTTTGTGCAATGATATCCAAAGTTTCATAGATATCTGGTAGTGTTAATGAACCTGTATGTGTTTCTGTTTCTCAAAGGCATAATATCAGATTAAGGTAATTGTTCAGGACTAATCAGCAAGTTTAGAAATGTATGGGAAAAGCTATACATATAAAGGCAGATTAATTAATTAATTAATGTCTATATATTTCTATAGCTTTAGTTTGGATATTGAAATTGTTAAACTTGCCTCATCTTTTCTCATTACTGAAATAGTTTATAGGTTTTGAAATAGTTTTTAGGAAAGCAACTGTGCTTTTTGATCAAAGTGGAAATTGATGTTAGGTTATAATAAGCAATTTAATTTTTAATGAGCTTTATCCAAGCCCAAACTTATAAGAAAGGTTATAAGGTCCAAAATAAACTAAACAAAAACAACATCTTTTCTCATAACATTAGTAACTGTGCCCTCAAATAATACAACAAATGAATAGTTAATTGAAAATATTTAATAACCCATAGCTATGTTTTGTTTTAGAACTTTGACTAATACCATTTGCCTTATCAGACAAACCTTACCATTAATATGGAGATATAAAACCGGTCTTCTTTATATGGAGATATAAACCAGTCTATCTTGGCACAATGCTGGTTGGATTACTTTTGCAAGTCTCTTTAAGTCATACCATAGTTGGGATCTCAGACAAGAATAAGCAAAATAAAACACATTGAAGTATATAAAGATACTAAAAATGGGTGAAATTGTTTTTCTTAAAGAGAGTCAATTGATCAAATTTCAGTTTATGAAGACATGTTCAAAAACTTAATCCTGGAAAAATTATGTTACACAGAGAAAATACAGGTTTCTATTATCACATTAATAGAGAATTGAATCAGGTTGAAAGAATTAAATCAATAAAGTAGATCTCTCAAAATGTCAGGTAAAGCTATTATTACCACCCAGTTCATGTTCTACTTTGTAGTGTTCTATACTGCAGCTATGTTAAGAACAAAACATGAAAAAAAAAAGAAAGCAGTAGTACTACTCCTTAAATAACAAACAGTGCAAAGAGATATTCTTTCTGACTTTTCACATTAAGAGGAGTCATCATTATTTAATGCAATTGTAATATTTATTGTAAGCAATAAACAAGTAGGACCACTAGAAACTAGGATTACCTAAGGCCTCTTCCTTCCTTCCTACAGGATCTCAAAGTAAGATTCGGGTAAATTGAACTGAATGAAATTGTCTTATCAAAAGCTAATGTCTCAGGTGACATCATTTAAGCAATGTCTACACAGATAGTGTATGACCACAATTGGGACCAGGATTTATAAAGCTAACCAAGATGTTCAATGAGTAACATCTGATTTTATGAGCCTTTTTGACATAGTTGTTAAATGAATCACTGCATTTAAATGAATCATGCAGTTAAATGAAACCAGCCAAAAGGGAAGACTGCAAACAATGATCACATGACCCTGGCATGCTGCAACCATTGTAAATTGATGTCAGTTGCCAATTGCCCAAATTTTGATCATATAACCATGTGGATGCTGTGATGATCAAAACTACAAATATCAATCACTTTTCTTGATCCATTGTAACATTGAATAGTCGCTAAACATTTGGTTTTAAGTTAAGGATTGCTTGTACCAATGTGTTTACTAAGTGTATCCCAAACAAGGGAAACACAAAAAAGGAATCTGTCAATATGTGCTATACTAGCAGGGAGGTTTCAGTAAAGGAACAATAAGATTGAATAACAAGTTATCATAAGGTGAATAATAGAAAACAGAATTGCAAAAGGAATTTATGTTTGTTTTACTGACTACAATAAGATCCCAAAATTCTGAAGATCATGCCAGGACATGGAATATATTAATTATAGTGGTATGTGTGCCAAAATACTTCTTATGCTTCTTAGAAAAAAATTTTTTAAAAAATAATAAGCTCCTGCAACAAATGAATTCATAGAAACAAAGTGGTTCAGTATATGAAATGAATAAGAAAAGGATATATGTTGTTGCCATCTGGATATGGAAGAAAAACAAATTTGAAAGAGATGACAGCTGGAATAAAATTAGAGGCAGAGCCTCTAACAATATGAGATTTGTATGCCATTATTTTGTTAGCTGAAATCAAAGACTTAATTTAAATGAAAAATGAAAAACATTTGAAATATTAGACACCAAGAAGATAGAGATGATGTCATGCTTAGTGATTTTACAGTTTTGTTGAAAATAGGAAACAGTTTTATATTATTGGCACCAATTAAATATATGTATTTAAATATATGTATATGTATATGGTATACATATATAGTATATGTATATAGTATGGTATGTATGTGTGTATATACCATCCTGTAATGTCTATATATTCTACATCTTAATCTAGCTATAAGATTCCCAAATAGGTAAGATTATCCAGAATTTATTTATTGGTTTCCTAAGCTGCAGCCATCATGTAGTGTTTGTTGGGATAAAAGAAAATATTATAATCATAAAATACCCATGGTAAAATAATTATCGTCCATAACTAACAACCAATAATCTCAGAATAAAAATCTACACCCCTCTGGTGTCTATCAGTGAATTAAAAAATGTCAATAGATGAGATGTTTTTAAAATGCTTCTGGAAGGGAAGAAATTTTCAGGACTAATTTAACTTCTGAAAGTCCGTTCCATAAGATAGGGGTCATTATGGAGATAGAGTCCTCTTATCCCTCCCCTTTAGTTTTAAACATTATTTATTCATTTGATCAGGTTAGATGATGTGCTGCACAAGCAAAGGAATTAACCGTAGGTAGGAAGGCAACGTCAAATTTAAACAAGATGAAACAGGTGAAACAGAAGGCTATCTCTATAATAATGGTACTTCAGTGGCAAACATGTAGTTAGCTAAACAGTAAGAAAGATGACAGAAACATTCAAATTAGGAATGAATGTACCATGTACTGAAGGAAGAATCAATTAAATAGAAATGGAATGAACCCTTGAGGTAATATCAACTTTAAACTTTTATTAAGTCATGTATAAATATAAACTTATAGTTCTTATGTACTGTAAATATTAATTCGATTAATTTTGTTTTCAAATCAATATATGAATAAAATTACAGCCACCATATTATGTATATGTTTTTTTAAAGTACACATAATCTATATATGTGTGCTTGCACCCTATATATGAAATATTGTTTGTTTGAGATCATGTAGTGAAAAACTACATATTAAGAAAAAGCAAAAAAAAAATCATGCATAATTACATATACATTTTTAAAAGTATGTATTACTTAGGATTAGAAAATAATAAATTAATAACTAATAAAATTGACCAACAAATGCAATGTTACTTATCACATTGATCCTTTCCTTCATAGCTATGTAAACTCCTAATGCTATAATGTCAACCTGCATTCACCAACAAGCCGGGGTATTCTTGCAGTTTAGAAAAGGAAAACGTAAGCTGAGATTTTAGTGTACTTAACTTACATATTTGAATAATTGGCAGTCATTAAGAACATTTACTTGTAATATCCCTTGAAATAATTGAAATTAAGTTCAAACACACATATATATCACAATTCTTCATTATGGCATTGTTTCCACAAATAAATATATTACTTATTATTTTAGGAAAACAGAAGTAGACAATTTGGTGAAAAATATTATTCTATTTCTTTTCTACAGTATGAGTGAAACTCTACTGAACATGTTTGCATCAAGCCCATTATATTTCCATTGATTTTAGGAGTAATTTATGATACAGAGAAAAACAAATAATTACTTGATATTACAGAGAGCAATGAGCTGAGATCTGTAAACTATCCATTCACTTTACATTAATATCTACAGGATTAAAATTTCAGTTTCCAGAATAAAAAGATTAAAGGTTTAAACATTAAACTTAAACATAGATCAATATAGAACATCAGCAACAAATTAATTAAGACTTTTTTCTATTTATTAATGTGCAGAAAATTGCAGCACGTAGTAAATAAAAAGAAATAAAGGTCAGGGGAAATGAATATGTTTCAAACTTTCTACTTAGGGGGGAAAAAGATGCTTGTTAAATTATTTGTAATTTTTTCTAAAAATTAAAAAAAGATAATATTCGCTAAATGCATGTCATATGCTATTATAAAGTGAACCATACAAAATCTTCTAGAGAAGTAATCTAGGATTATAACTACAAAAATTATTTTGAAATGTATCTTATAGTCTTATTGTTTTTAACAAAAATTAGTAGATAGTTATAAAATCAAGATGGACATCTTTACTTGCTTCAAAAAGCCACAACAATTGTGATTAAACTTCTTGGCATTATGTTAAATGTCAGTCCCAAAATATTGGTCAGTGCAAGGTATATATTTATTTTTTTATTGTATTTTGTTTGTCAATTGCTTACAAGATAATAGGTATAAGTAAAAACATAGTTATGAATACATGGATACATATAAGAAAAATAAAAGAAACAATAGAACAGGGATGGTAGGCACGTTGGTGCGCTTATGCACGCCCCCTACAGACCACTTAGGATCTCTTGTCTAGCATATTTTCTTACAAGATGTTGCTGTATGTCCCTACAGCAATTCAGCAATTTATTTCCTCCCTCTTTTTTGGTGACTTCAAGTCAGTCTTAACTCTTAGTGATTCCACAGTCCAATTAAGACAATTTTCTTGGTAACATTTTCAGAAGTAGTTTCTAATTGCCTTCTTCTTAGGGCTAAGAGAGAGTGAGTGGCCCAAAATCATCCAGCTGGCTTTGTGCCAATCAATCAGAATTTATTTATGGTCCAAGACCAAACACAATAAAAGATCAGTATACAAACTATAACTATGAAAGGTCATTTTAAAATTGCAAGAAAATCCTAACGCAAATAGCAGCTAACAGTTAATAGCATGAAAGAGAAGCCTAACACTTTCTGACGGCTATAGCTGTTAAGTATTTTGTAACCTCCTTGCAGATTTTTGAAGAATGGTCACCCAGGAGAAGGGGAACCAGCTTCTGGTCACAATAGCGATTACACATTAACAATTGAAAATATTAAATTTGACTGCAATTCTGTTCATTGTGGAAATTTTAATAGCACATACTAGACAGATTTTACCTCAAAATATGAACAGAAACAAGTTCAACTTCCGTATGTGATGTTCAGTTGATAGTGACCCAATCCACACAAATAAATTTTATGTATTTATCTATTAATCAAATTTATATTGTTACCAATCTCAAGGTATGCAACAATAATAAATAAAAGCCAAAGATATAAAAACAGAAAATACAAAAATAAAAATTGTACTAAAAAAAATCACAAAAGCCAAAAATGCAAACCATAGCTGAAGAAAGAATAACTGCCCCAGTGTGGACCCTTTAAGGTATTATAGAAATGACTAGGATAAACCAAGGAGAAGGAGCGATTTTGATATGAAATCAAGGGATAGGAGAATTCAGCTCTGTCTCTTGGATATCTCAGATCCTTTGCTTTAATTTAGCCAGGATTTTATCAAATCCCAAACCAGAATGCTAACAAGGTAGTCCTTGACTTACAACCATTAATTTAGTGACTCTTAAAAGTTACAATATGACTGTTTTTCACACTTACAAATGTTACAGCATTGCCAGGGCCACATGATCAAAATTCAAATTGACAACTGACATGTATTTATTATGGTTGCAGAGTCCTGGAATCATGTGATCACCTTTTGCAAACTTCTGACAAGCAATGAAGAAGCCAGAA